AAAGCGAACACTCAATTTATCCTGATCAGTCAAGGATCTTATTTTCCGTGACAGAGTCATTCAAAAGCTACACTTTGAACCTCTAAATTGTCTCTTCTTTTTGCAAATTATCTTCTAAGTAGCTAATATATTAGGTGGAGTTCACCTAATAGTGGAGTAGCAGAGCATAACTAGTGGAGTTTTTGTTACATATTTTTCTACTAAATGGTGTCATGTTTTTACAAAAAGTAGCAAACTGATTCTAGTAAACTTTTGTGGTTTTTAGGTGGAAAGAGATTGTAAAAGGCTCCTTCTGCCATGTGGAAAACACTAAACCTGATAGTAAATCATCCCAATTATTTGTAGCTTATGGGAGAAATCCCAGGACCAAGCCCCATTGACTCAGAAGCTCTGTAAATGGATTCTGTGCTTTATAATAAGTTGTTACGATCAGGCAGGAGGCCAAGTACCAGATGGATTGATTGCTTTCTGCCAGAGGTATGGCCACATCAGCTGCCTCTATTAGGAATGTATTTATTCTTGAAAATGTCAGCTTGACAATTGGAGTTCAATTTGTGCTATCAAAACACATTAGTCCTGTGATCCTAGAGTTAGATCAAATGCTTTGTTGAGAGGCACTACTTTTGTCTTATTTTGGTTTAAGATCTTCTCCGTACCCCTTCTAAATTATGATGGTTCTTTAGATAGTGGGTTTGCTGAGGCTGTTTTAGAGTAGAGAAATCAAATAAATGGAGTTTTCCAAAACTGTCAATAAGGATGCACACAAGATCTTAGTTACTTAGCATGAAACTGAGCTTTTTCACAAAATGTTTAGTCTGTGAAGGGGATGATAGCAAACCAGCTCACAAATCAGTGTCTCTTCTGAGCTGTTGAAAGAGGGGAAGTTAGTAACTTTGAAACGTTAAACAAATTATAGCAAAAGATGTATCAATTGTCTGAGGTTTCTTACAAGAAAAAGACAAACTCAGCATTTTTTTATAACGCAAGGGAGAACTGATGATTTGATTTGCATCCTAATCTAAATTCTACATTCATTGCTCCATGGTGAAAACAAGAATTTAAACTCAAAGCAATCTTACAATAGCACATGTCTCAATATGTGAGATAAATCCATGCTGTCAAATTACATGTCTGTTCTTAGGTATTAAACATAGAAAAGTCTAAAATCCAGAACACTTGATCTAGGTATTTCCAGGACGTATTTTCCAAGCAGCTCTATGCAAAGGGGTGCAAATACATTAACAGGGTGAGAATTCATCTACATGACTTCAGGCAGTATAGCTACCTGTAGGTATCTGTGATACTGAAAGAGTAAACCCTGAGAAATTAAAAAACTTATAGATACCTTAGTTACTTGAAAGATTTATATATCCCTTAGTTGCTTACTTAATTAGATTTATAACCTTGGAGTGGGTGCTTATCATCTAGCTGTTTGCTTGCTTAAATCATTAAACTTACATGTGGCTCTTCTCAGTCCCTGAGAAGATGATGGCCTTAGGACCTTTGCAGATGTTCTCCCACAACGTTGTCATGGGTGTCTAAGCTCAGGGAAGAACCTATAGATAAGAGTTAATGACTGAACATTCTTCAAGGAATATTGTCCCAAATTCATGAGTGAGGTGGCACTGAGCAAGGTCGAAGAGGAAATCAATGAGTGGACATCATGATGAAGCCTACTGAAGACCACTGACTCATTTTACTGTGCAAATGTGAAGGACATTTACATACGCTAAATAGCAATGAATATGCATGTGTTAGGTCAATATAATGTGTGCTAAAACAAAGACACACACACACACGTTGGGGGAACGATCTCCGTGTGTGTCCAGCGCTGCAATAAATACCTGCTTTCTAAAACTCCAAAACGAGTCTCAGAGAGTTTCTCTGACTGGCTTTCTCTGGATCAATTCTACTGCTTTAGATTTCTTTTATAGTTAGTGGAGGGAAGTAGGTGCATACGGGGTGCTTTTACTCTCTCCCTGAAGCAGGGTCTCTAAAATAGGCTAGATTAATTACTTAATAATTGAAATGCTTATTTCCCTACTTTGTGATTTCCTGCATGTGGTCAGGTGAATCATTCCTGAAATTTTATGCACTAGGCAACATACTGACCCAATACGAGGCACCTGCAGTCTCTACAGGTGAAGCAGCGACCACGTTAGTGTACTGAAGGATACAAACAAAAATAAACTGTTTTCCAGGAGGACTTCTGAATTTGGTGAGAGCACACTGCCAGTCATGGTTTACAGTTTCTCGACCACATCAAGCTGAAGCAAGTCAGATGGCCTTCAGTCAGCTTTTTCCTCTTCATGACACGTGTTTTGTGCATCAGCTTCTACAAATGTCCTTTTTGGTTCAATAAACTACCCTATCTGCTACTTAGTACCCAAATTCTGTTGAATAAGATTTTAAAAAAAAAAAAAAAAAAAGTCTTCTAGGCAGCATCCTCCAGCTAGTCAGCTGCTGGATTGAACCTACAAATTTTAACCTTACACCTGGGAGAATGTCCTCATGTACATGTCAGAAACGTGGTACCTCCAGTGTTTCTTTCTCATTATAGTTTAACAGCTGCCCTTTGAGTTTTCTTGAAATGCTGCATGGGATGGAAGCTCACGTTCACATTCTTGAGGGTATCACAAGACACAGCCCTTGTACTAGTGCCTGGATAAATAATATAAAAGTCCTGGCTAATATTTGCTCGTGGGAGACTTCTCTGCCTCACTCCTCTCTTCCTTACCAGCATCTCATGTTGCCAGTGTGCTGGTAGCTCATGTTTGCAAAGGGAGCTCATACTGACACGTCACCCATTGTAGAATTGCCACTTGCTGGGGAATGGGGGGCCTGTGCTTTGCTAGTGCCCATGACATTACTGTGAATAGCAGACAGGCTTTGAGGTAAAAGCAGAAACAGTTTACCCAACTAAAGTGAAGCGTGTAAGAAATCAATTGCTATACTTAAAGACAGGTGCAGAAAAGCAGAGCAGTTACAGTCTTTGTTGTTACTGCTCATTCAGATCTGGCTTCAGCATGACCTTTTCTTCTGTTTTCTTTTCAGCTAGCAGGCTCAAGCCTGCCTAACTCCCAGGGTGACTGATGGTTCCCTGGAGATGGGATCTGGTCCTTCAGTTATGTTTTGTCTTTTAGTTGTTTCTTTCCCAAAATAGGTTTCTTATTTGGGATGAAGTCACCCCTTCTGTCCTCCGTATTTCTGCTTGGCATAAATTCAACCTCCTGGCTTTCTGCATTTCTGGATAAATCTGACTGATTAAAAAGGCATCAGATTTTGTCTCTAGTCCCCTCATCAAAAAGAAAGCCCTTGGACTCTTGTCTTTCAGCTGAGTCAAGTCTAGGCTTCCCACTTATTTGACTTAACCTATTTACACAGTGCAGTCCCCAGTGGGCAGATAACAGAGGAAGAGTTACGTTACCACTGTGCTTAAATGCGTAAGCTGTGTCCATCACAGAACTTCAAAAGTACATGCTCTGTGAATGAGAGTGATGAATGTGAATCATTGATAAAATCTGGTATAATGGAAAATAAATCCAGAGATTGTTTGTGTCTAAAGTAAATGGGCCATAAGTGTATTGATGGAACAAGGGAGAGACAACGATGGCATTTTCCTACCTGGATGCATGATTGTACAGTGGATATTAGAGGTGTCAAGAATTGAGTCTGAGGCATTGGAATATTGGGATAATGGTAAACTGTGTGCTGCAAATAAGTTTTACTTCCTGTGTTCTTGCAAGAACTTGTCTGAAACTTCATTATTAGCAGTGCTGGCAAATAATAGATAATTTGCTTCCATGCTCTCTGTGCTTATGCTAAGTGGAAGCTATGGGAAGTTTGGGAATAGTCTTTCACTAGTAAAGATTCACTGTTTCCCATAACTGAAAAATGTTCATGTTATGTTTGTTTCTTTTGTTCTTAAACAATCGTTACTGTATATTCAGTTTTCGTTTTGGGGCTTTCTGTAGTACCTACAACTGTGTTTAAAGACACATTTCATAAAAGTCTCTTGATGACTTGTTCAGTGAGTTGAATATATTTTTACTGAGAGACTTTTGAAGCTAGACATCCTCAGGAGTTTCCTGGAGGATAATTTTGTATCCTGAAATACAGATAACTAGTCAGATAATTATATCTCAGTAAAGCCTTCTATTAATAGTTATTCTTGCTGTAATATTTAGACATACTTCTAGAATTCACATAGCCTTTTTTCAATTCTTTGTATTTCTGCAGCTTTCAGTGCACAAGAAAATTTATGTTTGTTTCCCAATTACAATTTATTTTATTTTAAATTATAAACATATGCTGTGGTATTCTTAAGGGACTGTTCTGTAGTTAATTGCTATTTATGTATCACCCTGGAACTTTGGTTTCTGTGGTAATGATAAAAAATACATGCTTTGTGGAGTTTAAATACGAAGAAATATTTTTTTTATTTTTGATGAAAGATTAATGGATAGAACTCTTCAATGACAGGGCTAGCAGTTTTGCTTCTTTCAGTTCCATTTTCCTGTTCATTTACAAGCCACTAATATATACAAAGCTGTAAGCCATCTATTTGAAGAAACAAGAGTTTTTAAGGAGAGGCTTTAGTGGCTGTCAGAAGTAAGGACTGAGGGTATACAGAAAAGCATGCCCTTCTCAGTTCTGCTGCTGCGAGTTTATACTGCAGCCTCAGGCAGGTGGCTGCACTTGACTCTTAGATTACAAAATTGAAGTTATGCTGGGACTAGGTATCTCCAAGAGATCTGTGTCTGAGTGCTGTTGGTTTGGGAGCTGAGACAGCAGTCTCTCACAGCTCCTGTTCCTGTTGTTTGGTTTGTATTATCTGGAAATAGAAATCATATGAATCAAGACAGGAGTTAAATGGAAGAACATTGATACTGAAGACCTATGACTTTCTGCCATGGTCTAAGTTTAGTTGACTATGATGTTGTGGTGATGCACTGTTTAAAGTGTTGGTGCTCTTTTAACTATTTCTGCAATCACTGCAGCTGTCTACTCAAGGAGATGCCAGCCAGGTGATCGGACCGCTTACAGAGGGACAGAGGAGGAACGTGGCTGTAGTGAATTCGCTATACAAACTGCACCAGTCAGTTCTAAAGGTAGGCTTCCTTTGGTATTTTTCTTCTTGCCATAATACTAACTTCTTTGCTTTATTGTATGCATATTCTCACATTAGCTGCTGAGAGCTCTGACAAATACAGCACAGTTTGGGGTTAAGAGCTGCACCTTATATTTGTACAACTGTTTGAGACTTGGTTGACCCTTGTAAGCACCGCTATGTGACAAATTGTCAGTAGGAGAAGAGGAGTGAAAGATGTGTTTATAGAGAATAATCACTCTCACAGCCTTTGTTTTGTGAGCCTAAACAATTGAACTCTCTGTTTTTTCTTACAAAGTACCGTCTTTGTACTAGTCAGCCTGATAGCCCTTGTCTGCATCTGTCCCAGCCCAAGCTTACCTTTCTCAGAAGACCCTTGCTGCTCTCCCACAATTGTAGCCAAACTGAAAAGGGGAACAAAAGGGCAGAATCAATAAAAGCAACACCTCACAGATATCTCCACGCATAGTTGCTGTGACCAAACTCTGCCCTGGAAATGTTTTCAGGACTAAACACAGATATGAATAATTCCAATTTACTGGCTTAGTGATGCCAATGGTTACATAGTCTCTGTAAATTAAAACAAACAGATATAGTGGTAGTTGTAGTTAATCATGTTCAGATCCTAGCCTGATTAGAAAAAAGGTCATGAATGCTTCTGACTGTGGATATGTTTAAAGAATGTTAAAAAATGCTGAAAATCCTATAAAATTTGCTTGGTTTCTGCAAACAGATGGTAGATCAACTTTCAAGTCTGCTTTCTCTGATGTATTTAGTAATGAACCTCATGTGCCTTAGTGTTGGAGGGAAATCTGATATGATTCAGTCTTTGAGTTCAGTAATTATCTGGCTAAAAAAATTGTATACCATGTTCATAACTGTAAGGAAATTGGTAGAATATTCCTTCACATCATTCCATGCCTTTCAATTCTAATATCGTTGTAGCTGTACGTAAACAGCTATTTAACATGTACTGTCATAATACTGAGAAAGAACCACCATTCTTTCAAACACTGGCCATAGAGCTGCTTGTCTAATTCTCCATAAATTCTATACTTAGCAGTGGGAAAATACATCACTTATTTTTATTCTGATTCTGTTAACCCTTCAGCTAAATTTCAGTTAAACTCAGTTGGATCATTTCTTTGCTAAGGCAGAAGCAGAGCCCATAGGAAATTTGAGAGCAAAGGACTGATACTGGGTCATTGAAAATTCTTTCTGTATAAAACATATTTGATAGTTATCTATACCTAGGTAAAACACTTATTACTAAGGAGGATAACTCAGTATGTTTTAAAATGAAATTAAATCTTATGGATTCTAATAATTTGTTGAATGTTGACTATTAACAATTACTTTAACATTTTTAGGTTATTACCAATCAGAGCTCATTTCCAGCAGCCGCTGAGCAAACAGTCACAGCTGCATTAAAGGTAATTGAATATCCATATGCTGCAGAGATAGGGCTGAACTTTGCTTTGCTTTTCATACTTAAATCGGACACTTATTTTCCCATGTATTATTTTGTGTCAGTGTATGTTAGTCAAAGGTATACAGATATTCTGAAATTTGTATTTTATTGTATCTGCATCTACATATATGTTGCACGTGCCAAATCACTGCTTGAGTAGCATTTGTATTCAAGAATATTCTCATAATGTTCAGAACCCAGATGTTATCTGACTATGAAAATAAATGCCTTTCTGTGCAGCATTCACACATCAATAACTGGGTCCTTCGTCACCCTCTCACCCCCCCAGCACACATAAAAAATTATGGGTTTTATGCTACCTGGTGCTTTTCTGGGGGGCAATGTGGATGGCCGTGCAGCCCTCCGTGGATGGCAGCTACCCACATCCATCCTGCTCTGCACTGATCTGGGAAGGGTTGTGTGCAGGGGAATGAAGGGCAGCTTGCATGCTGGGGGAATGAACAGCTGAACAAAGTGTGTGCACCAAAACATGTACGTTTACAAACCAGGAACACCAGATTGTTGTGCACCTTTTTGAAGGAAGGCTTACACAGAAGTAGTAAACAGCCTCGTTTCTGTACTTCACTGGTAAAATCAATTGAAGAGAAATGTTGTCTTAGGCTTTTGTCCTTCTATTTAGCAGTTTCTAATACAGAAAAATAAAAAACTGTTGAAATGAACTGTCAAGGTATTTCTGAGGTGTCAAAATGCAAATGCTTCTAGTTTCTGTTTCCTTACTTCTGCCTTTTTCTTATTCTATTTTAGGCAGTCCATGATCTAATGGGTACTGCTGTTCAACCGTTACTGAACTCTGTAGGAGATTCAGTAGAAGCTATTATCATCACTATGCACCAGGAAGATTTTTCTGGGTAAACAGAAATATTTTTTAAAATTTACTATTACTTTAGTAAGACGTCCTACATATGCATAATAAATTGTTATTGCCACAATGTCCCTTGGAGCAAGAGCGCTTGTTTGTTGAGAAGAAGGTGATGCTTTATGGTCGATGAACACAGAGAGCAGAATTACACCTATCTATTGAAACAAATAAATAAGGAAGCATCTATCTTCTTCCCTCTTTTTTTTTTTTTTCATGTCTGTTGAGTAAAATTCATTTTAAATAGAAAAATAAAGCCAACCAGAGGCCATTTTTGTGCTTAAAAACCTCCTTTTGCTTTCAAACTTATTTTTGGGGAACAGTCTTCAGAACTGCCAATATTCTCGTTCTAAAAATAAAGCATATAACCTCTGATTCAAAATTACACAGGAATTTTTCTAAAGTGAATATGAAATATTCAAAAAATCTTTTTTATTGAAAGCTCAGAGTTAGTGTATTATGTGTTATTTCCCATAGCATTTTAATTTAAATTTCCAGTATTGTTTATCTGCAAAGATCTTGAGTGCCATCTGTAATTGAGATTTCCTTCCTGAGTGTTATCTTGGTTGTTATCTCTGTTCTGACATTGCTTATATCATCATCAGATGTCCTGTTTTCTGTTTTGGAAAGTCACTCAAAATAGTATTATTTTCAAAGGTATTTTAAATTTTCCTTTCGACTTTTTTTTTTAAACAGTATTTCACCCTCTCCATCTGTCTTTTGCCAACACTAGCAAAATACAGCTCTAGGTGGATAAACCGATTCCAGCCAAAGGCTAAGTTTAGTTAAACAGCCCGTATGCACAGGTTTCTAAGTCTGGAAGAGCTCTTTTGCTTGACTGTGGTTCAAAGAAAGAGAAAGATTGATTTCTGTGTCCCGTAGCTTCTGTGCTGCTTCTGTGATAATTAGATTGACTTTATAATCCTGGGTTTGGAGGAATCTAGGAAACAAATTCTATACACAGAACAGGTTTGGGATAGGCTAAACTACTAACCCTGTGACATGTGCTTGTATTTTCTGATCCCTTATTAGAGTTTCAAATCAACAACTGGGACGTTTTAATTCAGGGGATGGATTTGAGGTTTAGGCTCCAAACTCGTGGAGGGCTCTGTGAGTTGGGTGGGAGTGGGGTGATTTCCTTTATCTTGTTAGGATGGGAATGGCTGATAAAGATATTTTTTTACTATAGTTTCAGAGAACGCTACATGCTCTTTGTTCTGAGTAGAAATGAGACTCCACAATTCATGCCATGACTTCATGGGGTAGGAAAAAAATTAAAAAGAATCAATAGTTTTTGGTTGTATTTTAAAGATGAATTTAACTGTCCCCATTTCTTTTTTCTTTTCTTTCTTTTCAGATCATTATCTGGCTCAGGAAAACCAGATGTCCCTTGTTCTCTGTACATGAAAGAACTACAGGGTTTTATAGCAAGAGTCATGAGCGACTACTTCAGACATTTTGAGTGTTTTGACTTTGTCTTTGATAACACTGAAGCCATGGCTCAAAGAGCAATTGAGCTTTTCATTCGCAATGCCAGCCTAATAAGGCCCCTTGGTGAAGGTGGGAAGATGCGGCTTGCGGCGGATTTTGCACAGGTACCCTTAATACCGATTTCTGCTTTTCACTGTTTCTTCACTGGGTCCACTGAAAAGTGTCAATACTTTTGTCCCCACCAAAGTACAAACAGGGAGTTGTAGAGATCGGTGCATGCCAGTTCTAAACATCCTCTCTGATGAGATACTATGTCCTGAGAAATGCATCCACTAAGTAGCTGGAGATCCCTTGTCACCATAAGGCGCATTCAGGGAGGTCTGACAGCTTCCTATCAGGTGACTGTTGCATTTAAATTCAGCTGTGTCTTGACACTTTATCCCACTTATCTGACCTCTTCAGTATGTCCATCATTTGCCACCATTCATTCACTTCATGATTTCTCTCTCTTCCAATGGAATGGTGTGTCTCTTTCTTAATCACTTCATATATCCCAGTGCTCACAGTGGTTAATCACTAACCCTGCTGCCTTGCAGTGTAGGAGACAAGCTAAGGAAATACCAATATCCTATGGAAGAACTGCCCTTTTGGTAACAGAAGGGCAGTTTTCTTGTGGGATTCTCTTCATGACCTAATTGACTTATCTGCCTCTCAGCTTCTTAGCTCTTGTACAGGACTAAAACAGAAAACAAACTGCCAGATTAATATCTACTACTTGTCTGCACTTTACTGCTAAGTAAAGTTTTTTTATTCATTACTCAAAAGTAGCAAATCAGCCTTTAACCACAGAAGTTAAGGGAAAGTTTTCAATTTATGCTGCAGTACTAAAGTAAGTCCTATAAATTTGGGAAACATCATCTAATTCTACAGTAAACAGCATCTTATCTAAGCACCTATTATAAAAATGCTAAAAATATAACTCATTTATCTTTTTTTAAACACTTATTTTTCTCATTCTGACACGGACTACCTTTTAAGTGAAAAATGAAAGTATGTTTTCTTCTCAGTGGAGGGGGATTTGCATGTTCTTCCCCACTGTGCTGAGTATAAATCCTGAACGGACAACTGTGTAAAGGTAAATGTTCTGATTTCTCTTCTTTTGTACTGTGGAAGAAAAAAACCATGGTTTTTAATTCATTCTTGTCTCCTGCTTTCAACTGTTGCTGATTCTAGGGGCTGCCTTGTGTTTTTCTCATCTTCACATTGCACCGTACTTCTGGCTTGTTTAAAAATGGGCTTAAGACAAGAACTGTCTGGGTCCAACTAGCCCCATACAGCCACCTCAGTGCTCACTCTGCCTTTGAGCATCTCTGCACAGAGCTCCTTTGGGTGTCCCAGGCTGCACAGGGACTGTAGTGTCCAGAATACCCTGGACACTATATCCTGTTGCTTGGGATAACAGAATAAGGACCAAAACATTTTGTATTCAGAGGCTGCTTTATATCCATGTTTTCTGGGGTGTGTCTGCTCCTCACGAAAACCTGGTGGGTTTCGGATACGTGCCCGTGATGCCAGCTCCTGGTTGCCCCAGTGAGGAGTTTGTAGTTGCTCTGACCCGGCCAGGAGTCCTGGACATGACATTCGCCAAAATGTGGCTGTAATCCTGAACAGGACTCATTTCACTTCCATGCTCCCATTCCTGTGGCACATGGCTTTGTTGAGGAAAGACTTGATTCTTCCAAAGAGAAGGGGAGGTTGCTGCTGCTTTGGGCTGAGGAGAGCAGGAAGCAGGTATTTAGCTGGGCTGCTGGCTTGATGGGAAGGATAAGCTTTACCAAATGGCCACAAATGCTGCATGTAGGGGTTTTTTTTTAGTCCCAGAAAGGCACTGCATTGTTGGACAAAAGCCAAACCCCAAGGAAAGGACCTGCCTGGAAAGACACTGTGTGTAGGAGGAGGTTTGTTTATAAACTGTTTTTACTTGTGCTCTGTCTTGTAGAGTAATTTTGAATTTTCTGTACTCAAAAAGGGTTACATATTCTTGCTTAAAACTGGCTTTTGAGATCTGAAACCCCTTTTGGTGTTTTGGGATTACTTGCAGGCAAAAGACTTGGACAGAAATCTGTCCAGAAGCTTTGGTTAATTTGAGGTCCTATTATAAACAAGCATGCGGTAAGTCAAATATTCAAAATCTGATGCAACCCAAGATTATCTCATGCGCTTGTGCACATTTTTCAGGGCACTCAGAGTTACAGCTGCCTTATACTCAGCAGAGTAGCTGTGGCTGAGAGTCAAATTTGAAAATTTTTGCACTGGAAACGTGTTTTACTGATAAGTTGCCTCAAAACAACAGGTGTCTACACAGAAGGGGGAAAGCAGGCTTCAAGTTCTCTTCATTCAGAACTGGGTTTGGTGAGGTGCATGACAGCCAGTTTTCCTAAGTAAGGCTCAGCCACTTATACGGTTAGGAATTATTGCTGTAATTCTGTTGAATTCTCTGTCTTATCCTGTTTCCAGTGTCAGTATTGCATTTTCCTATCGTGTGCATTACAGGTATTTCAGCAGTAAGACTAGGTGTGTGCTAGTGTGGCAGCTGTAAACAGAGGTATGATAGGCTTGAAATATGCCTGAATACCATTAATATGATTTCAGAAGATCAGTGCTTACAGGAACACAGAAACACTTTAAGCCCTAGAAAATGTCTGCAGTGCTGCAAGGTTATTATTGAATACTGTGCTGTTCCTTGGGACTCGTTTGAAATATTTCCAGTCTACAGGCTGAATTCAGTTCTTTTCCTGCTCTCAGTTTTTATGCAGGCAATTACCAAAGAATACTTTTCAGTTCACTCCTGTAAATTCCTGGATCAGTTTTCAGTTGTTTTTGTATTTTTAAGGTGATCATAATTCAGTATTCACGTATGTAATACTAAATTTCACTTTTAATTCAGTACTAGTCAGACTGAAAAAAATGTTCTCCTGGAGGCAAGCAAGCCAGCAAGCCCTGATGGTTTTTCAACGTTTATGTTTCTGGGGAGTACTAGTTCTTCTCCAGAGAACCTTTTAACTTGCTTGGTATTCAGAGGTGTTACAGCACTTACACTTAGGCACACTTTGAGATTGGTGGCTTGTAGTTCAGGCCTTCCTAAAATTCGATGGAAGTGCTGGATGATTCAGCAAACAATGAAATATAAGCACGATCAGTTGAGAAAATTATTTAGAAGAAATGCAGAATCGACAGTAATAGTTGGCATGGAAATGAGTAGTCTGCTGCATAACATTTGAGAGCTGATACAGGAAAACAGCTGTTTAGTAATAGCAAATACAAATCACAACTGCATTGAAATAAACTAGTCTAGAAATTACAAGGACTAAGTAATTTTTATGCTTCATGGCATGAAGGTGTGACATGATTTCCCATCTTTTCATGGTACAGGTGTATGTTTGGAGTGACATATAAGGCAGGAGCCACAAACCCCATCTCATGTTATGATTGATTATTTTCAGCCTTATCAAGTGAACTATTTTTATTGGTCCTGTTTGAGTTAATACCTTCATATATTTCTTATCTAGATGTGATTTATAGTTGGGTTTTTTGGCATTGTTCAGTACTGTGTTCAGACAGTTTTGATGGGACATAGTTTACACTGCCACCAACTCGTCAAGTCTATATCAGTAAGTTACTGCAAAATGTTTTGGTTTTATTGAATTTGTCTGGAAATACATTTTTACTGTACAAGTTGACAATACTAAATTCTAATGCAGAAGAAATGTTTCTATCTGCTGGTTAGCCTATGGTCAGAATCTGGTTTTCTGATTCAATATATGGCATTAAAAAAGCAGGAATATTAGGTATTTCAGTTTTTAAAAATGTAAACAGATTTGCTCGTTTGGTCAAACATGGTGATACAAGTGTAAAAATGCTTTTTATATTTTTTTCTCTAAAAAAATTATTTTATAGTTTCTTACAGAGGAGTGAGAAAAGCAGGATGCTATAGTCACAGCTTTAGTCATAAGGACAGAAACTACTAAAGCTAAAATGCACTTAATGCTTAATACTGACTATCTTACAAGAAGGAGGAAATTATTTTCTGATGTGTTATTTTGGAGGTATTGAAGCTGGAGGATTTACATAAACATCAACTATTTTGGAATTGCTGCATGGGGGAGAAATCAAATTCTGCATCCATATAGGCTGACTTCTTCCATATAATGGTTCAGAGCTCTTCTGCTCTCTTGCTTTTTAAAGCATTCTTTCCTGGTGAATGGCTAGAAAAAGCATTTTGAGTTAACATTTAAAAACTTGGAATTCATCTTGGCCAGGAGGCAATGTAATTGCTAAAAATTTAATGTTAAGATTTTACAGCTGAAAAAACAGCTGTTTAGTAATGAGAGATCTTGAAAATACCTCAACAGGCACTAAGCAATAACTTCACTATGGGGTTTTTCAAAGCACTTTTCAATGTATATGCATTATCTGTATCTAGACTACCTATTAACTTCACCCTTGGGTTGCTGAACATAATCCAATTAGAGAAGCCAGCCATGTGATGTATTTTTTACAGTATGGCTAGCCAGTGAATAGTTCAACAGATAATTGACCACCTAGCCATGGGCTATGGCAGGGTCATATAAGAAGAAAATATAACAGAGCCTTTTTGGGCTTAGAGGGCAAGAATCATTGAGAAGAAGCATATGTGGGCAGGAGTTTGCCACTGTGTTCTGCGAAGCATAGCAAAATAACATGCATAAATCATGGAAAAGCAGTGAAGTTTGAACAAAGATAGAAGAAATAAGGCAGAGTCATTAGGCCACCTTCTGTTCTAGCTGCCCCTTCTTTCTCAGCAGGCACATGCACTTCCTACTGCTTCTCTTGGATCCTCAGTTAATTATTATCTTGATTGACATTAGTCAGTCAAGCCTCTGTGGTTGCATATTACTGCTTGGACACCTGCTTTATCACTGAACTTAATCTGGATATCTGAATTTTCAAATTTGCAGTTCTGGGAGAGAAATTTGGAAAACAAGCAGGAAATACTACTTACCCTTCATATGTAAAGTCCATAGGACATGACTTGTATGAAACGACTTGCACACACGATACAAACACTGGCTTACAGACAGCCAAAAACATCACCCAACCTGTAAAAGCTCACCATAGTGCTTTGGAAACTATAGCTGTATATCATAGCAAAAGCTGCTACAGTATAAACATGCGGCATGAATCAACAGTTGATGCAGCTTCAGGTGATGACAGGTAGTGAAACTGAGAAGTGATGTATGCTCAATCCTCTGCCCATTTCCAGCACCTTAAAAACAGCAGCTGTTCCAGCCGAATGGTTCCTCCTGGCACTCGCTCCCAGGCCAGCAATGCTGGCCAGCACAGTGCTCAGCAGAGACGCAAAACCCCACTCAGGGCCGGCAGAAATGAATGTTATCGACAGAAAGGTGCTGTAGCATCTCATGACATCATTCACAAATAGCTAAAACTCAAGTGAAGAAAAGAATCTTAGTTATTATGAAACATAGAGCGTTTTTTTGGAGAGATTGGGTTATAACACAGAGTAGACTAGTGTTGTAAATTTAAAAAAAAAAGTTTATGTACATTTTTACCACATTAGGTTTCACTCATTCCCACTCTTCATGAGTCAATTAGAGATGGTATAGTATGCTGCAAAGCTTAAAAACAATTTTTTTCTTTGGCAACTAGTACTTCACGAATCAACCATCTGCTGCCATTAAATCTATCTAGTTCTAGCAATAGTAATAATTTCCTACAGTGAATAAAGGTTGAAGATGAAGTAATAGAATTTTCCAAAGTAAATTTTATTCTTTAGTACTTAAGACTAAAAGTGTTGATTTATGGAAACTGCCAAGTATATTCAAGAGAAATCATTTAGATTTGTTTTAATAAGGAATTGGTTGAGCTGCAGAAAGTTTCACTTATGTCTCAGTACATCATATTATGTTTCAAGAGTGAAACAATCATTTAAAACTTATTAAGCAAAATTATATTTTGCTATGCCGGGATTTCTTTCCCCTCATGAGTACAGTTTGATCCATGCATCTCTGTTTGCACAAGTCAGACTGGCAGTTTGTTGCCTATTACCAAATTCTCTAAAACACCTGAAAGAATTATCTTCTCCCTGGTTCTTCACAGCTACGAGCCCACGGCTCCCACCAGAGCTGGGACACCAGTTACCTCCCACTGCCCCTGGCCAACACTGATGCCTGAAAAGAAGCTCTAGAGAAATCAGTCTTGCTCCCATTTGTTTTTTCAGGGTCTGTAGGGTTCTTGTATCACAATGCAGCAAAGCCTAAGTAGGCTAATTAACTAATTAGTTCCTCTTTTTGGCTACTTGCTCCTGATCCTGTGCAGCAGACAGGCCTTGTCTGAGCCTATGTGCTGAGAAGTGTCCTGGGGGAACAACATGCTCAACTTGCTCTCAGCTTCATGGCAGTTGGGAGTTGGAGCACCTCCCTGCAGAAATCCCCAGGGAGAACCTGCCTGTCCTGGGAGCGTAGACAACCTCGCTCCCCTGTGCCGGCAAATCCAGCACACGGCACAGCACCAATGGCTCCTTCTCAAGTGTGGGGATGTTGGCTTCCCACTTGCATGCCTTTTGCACTGTCTGGTGGATAGCAAGTGTGCTCGGGACCTGTAGAGCTGGGTTGTACATGCTCTTCAGCCCAAGAAACAGGTGCCCCTTGCACGTGCATGCAGGAGAGGTGACCTAGCCCTCAGGCTGCGAGGGTCACAAGGGGACAGGGCAGGGATCCCACCCAGCTGCAGAGAAGGGGCCGGTTCATAACCTAAGTAGAAGATGTGGAGGCCAGAAGAGCAGCAGGCAGGAGGGAGCTGGGTGGTTACCCAGGGCCAGAGCATTCATCTGAAAGCAGAAGGCAAAGATCCTTATTTCTGCTTCCTGGATTTTTATTCACTTCCTGCTTCTGCAATTTTCTACTTAATAGAAAATACAGAATACAGGCAGCCTGGAAGTGCTTGATGTGTGGCAGTACTGCAAGGTTCTGAGGCTCAGGGAGTGGCTTTGCACTGCCTGTTGGCTAGCTCTGTGGGGCTGTCCCCATCACCTTTCAGAGGTGCCCTCCTCTCTTTGTCTGTAGAGGGGGCATAGGTGCCTGGGTTAGGCTCTCTGGCTTTCCCAGCTTTGTCTGACTGATTGTCATGTAGGTGGATACTCCTCCAATGTGACCCACCTGACCTATTTTAGATGTCTACCTCAGGGAAAGATGCATCACACTCCAGGAGTGGCTGTTTATCTCCACTGACTATGAAGAGAACCTGTAGATGTTGAGAAGTAGGTGAGATGACTCCCATCCGGCCACCTGCTTTTTAAGATGGATGCCTGAAGTATATGGTCTTGATTTGCATTAATTGCTAATTTATTTTCTTCTAGTTTTAGATGAACTATGGCATTGTAGTTCACCACACCATCTTTCTTGTTTATGCTGGAACCCCAACATAGTTACGTGCTCTTGGTGAAGCTGGTGGCCCAGCAGCCAGCTCCGTCTGAGGAAATGCTACAGCTGGAAAGAATAATAGAATTAAAGACTTCAGTGTAAATAAATACTCTCTTACCACTGATGCTTTGAAACTCGTTCAGCAATGTTACTTAAATTGGAAGTTTATTGTATGATGTTTATGATCTTGTTACTTATTTTAGCTCTCATCCTTTGAAACTTAGCTTAATTGTGCATTATGTGGAAATCGAAGTCTGAATAGTCTTTCAAGTTGGGGATTTTAAAAAATGTATGTGGAGAATAAAGCTTGCTTCCTTCTGTTGACTGACACTTCAGGAATGCAAAAAATAAATACTTAATCCATACCTGGATAAATTACTTTACCGATGGGGTTTTTTGAGTTGTGATGTTTGCATTAGTGTGCCTATTAACTGAAATTTTGCCATGTAATGTTCTTTTTCAGTCTGGGATATAGAAGTGAAATTTTTCTTTCTCACTTCTGTGTCTTTATTCTTAATGAAGAGCCTGTGACAGAATTTAGTCTCACGTGAATGATGTAAAAACCCAAGCAGAGCCTGGCTCTTGTTCAAAAAGGCAGGTGAACTCCAGTGCTTAAAAAAACCAGGAAGTGTTTAAAAATTATTTGTTTTTAAAGGTGGCTGCTGTAACTCAGAGCCTGCACAGTACAGAAAAAATGCTCTTACTGATGCTGTTTTGCCTGTGATTCCATATGACCCTGTGGCAATAGGTTCCAGCTGTCTTCTGTCTAATCTGCATTTTGTGCCCCAAGAATATGGGGCACAAATGTTCAAGAAGGAATCATTTTTACTTTGTCATTTGTCAAAGGAAAGGGTGCCCAGCAGAAATGAGTAGGTATTTTTACTGCTTTAGGAGTCGTTTGTGGAGACCTGCCTAGCTAGGCTGCAGCCAGGTGTTTGAGGTATTATGATGAAGCATAAGTGCTTCATCAGGAAACTCGTCACCAACAAAATAAACCTGTTGCAAGAAACAAAGCTTCAGTCTCAGAAAGCTTTCTGTTCTTATTGTAGACTACCACTGTCGTTTGTCATGGGATGCTTACTGTGTTGCCAAGAATAAGGCAAAAGTCTTGGCTTGAGTAATGCGATATGAAAGGAAAGGACGGCTCCTTGTCTCAAATTCAGCCACTAGCAAGAAGTCAGTGACCTGGTCTCCAAGTTTGGATTATTGCTTAAAGGCAGGCTACTTCAATACCAAGTTTTTTATATTTTGGGACAATCTAATTCAAATTAAAATGTTTGTTTCTATAGATGGAGTTAGCAGTAGCACCATTGTGTCGGCGAGTCTCTGATTTAGGAAAATCTTACAGACAGCTGAGGTCATTCAGGTGAGTTGCAGTCGCAGGAACTGAGCATTGGCAGTGTTACCAGACTGTATTTCAAAACTGATTTATTACCTTCTGTGAGTTCTGATTGAACTGAGAGCTTTTTTGGCAACACCCACATGCAAATTAGAAATAGACTAAAGTTCTTTTAAATTTTATGCAGACTATAACTTTGATTTAACAATCTTTGTCATGCAAATATTGGCCGAATTGTACTTCTTTGTGTTGCTTTCAGTGCATATTCTGTGTGACAGTGAGTTCTGTAGCCCCCTTAAGTGTTTTCACTGAAGTGTAAAATTTACAATCCTGTGTTGTTGAATTACAATAGACAACTTCTGTAAATTTTTGCAAACTGAACCTGTGTTGAAAACCTAAGATGTCGATCAGTGGAAAAAAATTACATTATTCTATCCTAACACAACATTGTCACCATATAGGCATTTTTCTAATGTATAAGATAAGCTTTTTCTTCCTTTCACAAGTATATTGTTACATTTTTCCAGACCACTGCTGTTCCAGACCAGTGAGCATATTGCCAGCAGCCCAGCTCTGGGAGAGGTTATTCCATTCAGCATTATTCTTCAGTTCTTATTTACAAGAGCACCACCAGAGTTAAAATCACCCTTCCAGGTAATAAGATCAACCTGTCTTTCCTTTTGAGGTGTCCTAAGAAGGAATTAACAACTAGTTCACCCTAGTTATTTTAGTTTTAAAGTATTAAATGTCATACTTCATATGATTTGTTGGCTTTTGTTTTTATTGTGGCAAAGTTGTTATGGTCATTGACTTCATATTTTGATTAATTAACAGTAGGAGGATGATAACCTGATTTTAAATAGACTATCAATTACTTAATATTCTGTCAGCTCATAGAAGAAATTGTGGATCTTATCCCAAAATGCAGGTTGCCTGGATCCTGCTCATGTAAGATGCAGGAAATCTAGATTCAAACTCCTGTCAGAATTGGCCAAACAGCTGATCACCTCTGAGCTCCCAAATAACATACTCACCATGTCTGTTAATTGTCTCTGATTCTTGAACTCATTCTGCATCACTGCAGTATTAAGAGAGCCTCATGTGGCCTTCAGTTATGTCATCTTTGGTTCTGAAATTGGTCTGTGTGTTTCATTTTTCACACCCAGAGGGTGGTGGAGCGCTGGAGCAGGCTCCCAGGGGAGGCAGTCATGGCACCAAGCCTGACAATATTCAAGAAGCATTTGGGCAACGCCCTCAGACACATGGTCTGAATCTTGGGATTGTCCTATGCTAGAGCAAGAGTTGGACTCAGTGATCCTTGTGGGTCCCTTCCAACTCACAACATTCTATGATTCTATGATTTATGTGTAATTGGTGTTTGTTTGTGTTTTTCTGTATTAGAGGGCTGAGTGGTCCATTGCCCGCTACTCCCAGTGGCTTGATGATCATCCATCTGAAAAAGACAGGCTTGCTCTCATACGGTAAAATCATGCTTCTTTCTTCTCTACTTTTATGATAATGGTGCAGTAATTTAATCTGCACACTAGGACTGGTCTTGAAAAGTAAAAAAAAAAAGTGCTGTAGGAGATGTATTATAAATACCATTACCTTCTCTCCACTCATGGGATGAGTTGCAAAACAGGAGAATACAGAAACTCAACACTCCTCTCTGCCCCCCATACCGAAACCTTCCAGCGCCGTTGGAAGGAGCACATAATCCTCTTGCAAACGAAGGAAAACATGCACAATGATGGTTTAAATGAATACTGTGTTTTAACAAAACTGCCTCTCTCAACTGTTGGAAAGTCAAGTCTGCAGCTGTCCTGTCTTCTGTATCTGGAAAGAGAAGCTCTGGAAGTTTAAGCAATGAAAATGTAGGTAGGATTTTTAAAATGGAAGACCCTTGTTATGTTAAAGGAATTTAACTCAGTCGATGGGTAACTCTAGGTTTGCTTGATTGACAACTCAGAGTTGGGCCATCACCTCAGTGAGTGGCAAAGGCATTGCAAAAATCAGGCTCTCTATATATGCTAAACTTAACATTATGCAACAGGCATTCTTTTCAGAGTTTCTTGGAGTTTTCCCACGAACCCTCAGTTCCAAATTTCTCATTAATCTAAAATTCTATAAAAGTCCACAGCAGTCTTCAAGCGCAGCTGATTTGTCTCATCTCACTGCCTCTTCAGAAGTTGCAGCCCACTGGTCCCACTCTGGTCACTGTATTCGCTTATCTTCTTGAATAATCTTCCTGTCTGCTCACCTTTGCTCTTCTAAGAAAAACTTACATAATGACATTTAACTTGTGTCTATTTTAAAATATGTAATCTTTCACAATTCGCTTACTCCAAGTTAATCACTTATCCTCTCTAATTGCTATATCTCTATATTCTGTTATTCTTGTTGATTCAGCTGGATTGGGTTTAAACCAACTGTGGAGAGGGCTATACAAAGGAGAAAGTGAGAAGCAGCACGGTTGCATGGTTTATAAGAATTATTATTCTATTATTTCATAGCACCTGTTTCCGATTTTTCATCTTAACCATAATAGTTGTATTAATCAATATCATTTTACCTATAAGCATTCTCTTAGAGTCTTTCCCTTTTACATGTTACACCCCTGTAATGTTGTTATTCGTCAGGAAATCAGCCTGGGATCTTTAGGAAGTGATAATTACATCAGATTTTAAAAATCTTCCTAGGGTAGATGACTTTATAGTTTATTACTATTTTGCATCTTAAAATGTTAGGAAAAGTTATGAAGAGATGTGTTTTTCAAAACAAGCAGATTTTTAAAGTATGTTAGGGAGAACAGATGTGTTGTATGAACGTGACAGAGCCAGCCTGAGGATCCTCAGGATTCAAGGCTCAGATGATCATTTGGCTCCTAACGCCCTAACTCTTCCAGCCACCTTCCCGGTGTCCTGTCCCAACCTCAGTGTCACCCACTGCAGTGGGTGGGGGACAGGCTGTCACACATAGCTGCACTAGGCTCCATCTGGCCTGGGAGCCAATTCTGTCCTTGAACTTCTGGATGTGGGTGTTGCCAGCTTTTGCTGAAATCATAAAAACTGACTTTTAAGTTACAGCCAGCAATGGTTGTGCTTGAGAAAATCATCCATTATCTGTCCACACTTCTAAAGCAGCCAGGAGGAGTCTGCTGTGCATATTTACAGTTCTTGAAGCTGATGGCACCATGCAGTCCGGTGTACTGCTCAGGCCAATTAAGGAAATACTAGTTGATCACCAGTAGACGTTAGTAGGATTTATTTCCAAAATATTAAAATGTAAAGTGTGTCTCTTTATATGTGTATTAAAATAGTATTTGCTGAAAATCATAAATGTTCTTAGTCTAGTTTGGCTACAAAACTAGATTGTCTTGAATCTCAAGACGTAACACCTTGAATTACAGGAGCATGGATGATGGGGACAGGGCTGATACAGCTGTATATGTAACTTAGTTGTGAATATTTTGATTGTAATTTCTATCCTGCTAGTACTGGCAAAACCAACAGTGTTGAATTTCAGATATGTTAGGGAAAGCCAAGAATGCAAATCACTTGAGAACTGACGGGACTTTGTTCTCTTCAAACCTTTTACACAAATTTGAAAATGCCATCCTTAAACTACAACACATTTTTGTCTTTGCTTGCAATTAAATTTCATCCAGACTGATTCAGTTAATGGGCTTGCTGGTGGCCATGTTCAGGCACTGATGAATTGCTCTGACCATGGAGGTATTAAGGGACAAGCCTTGGGACAAGGCTTTTAGGCAGAGAGTGTCATCCGTTAGACTACATTAGTAGTGTAGCAGGAATACTTAAACTTCATTTCAATCCTTTCATGGAATCCTTTATTCATTTTACATGAGATACTACTATTAAAATATTTTAACTTTGTAATCTCAACAATGTGCTACTGCAAGGTTATCACTTGGCAAGGTCATCACTTGAGCATTTTACAGTGAAACTGTGGTCCTTTTGCTTTGCACTGCAGAGTGCTCAGATGTGGCTCAAACCTCCATCCTCCCAGGGCACGGAGAGGGCAGCTTGGAAGATCTGCCCTTCCCAGAGGCCTCTCTTGGCACTCCAGTGGCTCTTCCCTACTCTTGGTATGCCAGAGCAAGGCTGCTCGTCACTGCCCACGCTTGACTGCTTCTCCATCAATGCCCAGGCCCACTGCTTGCAGGCACTGCTCATGCAGCTTTGCTGAGCTGTGTGAATTAACGACACTGGATTTGTTGAGCAGATTCTTCCCTCGGGAGGTTTGGTTGGCAGCTGGTGTAGCACTGCATGTCTGGGAGCAAAGAGCCGGGGCTAGCTGACCAATGCTTGAATGCAGTGAGTGAAGGGGCTGGTTCTCCTTTGCAGACACTGGTAACCTCTGTAGGCATGACTGTGTCCATTCACCTCTTTACCATCTCCTCTCATGCCTCTTAGTCATTTCTAAATAGGCCAGTTGTCCTACATAGGCAGGCAAACCAGTGTCAGTCACTAGTGTGACCATGTTTCATTCATATTTCCTTTAATACTCTATTGGAAGGTTTCTGAGCCTCCTCTTCATGTGTCTTACATAATCCTAAGTTGAACTACAGGCATCTTGCTCATTTGTCTGTAGTCTTTTTATCAGTCACCCCCTTCAAGGTTTTTCCACCTGTAGTTGTTCAGCTGTGCTGATTGAACCTTGGATGTTTTGAGCCGTCAGATCCCTGCAGTGGCCTACATCAAGAAATTATCTTTACGTTTGCTGCAACCTTGCAAATGGTAATTTTCTGCAACTTCCCTTTGTAATGACTGTGCAATTACCCTAGGGACCTGCTGCCTAGATATTAATTTACTTGTGTTTTTAGAATCCTTGCAGCTTCATATTAAATCTAATTGCAGTGCTTCTTCCGCTCTGTAGATTTTAAATGCTTCATATGCAGCATGGTGTTAATGTTACGAATTAGTACCATTTTTGTGCATTTCTTTCTGCTTGTATTCAGCATGAAGAGTGGGATTTACCTGGCCAGAGGTATATTAGCTAGACTCCCTTTATAGTCAACAGAGAGAAAGAGGTGCTGCTGGGGCTGATTCATCTCATCCTGAAGTAGGTACCTAAAATAGGTCAGTTGCGTTGTGTCCTGAAAGCTCCATTTTCTCTGCTCAGTGAGGGGAGCGTGGGCTGGGACCTGGGAGCTCTCTCAGGCAGACAGCTGCCCTGCAGTCTTTTAAAGTTAGGTGAGATGACCCTGCTGCTGGCCTCCTCCCGGAGCAGGGATTGTGTTGAAAGGAGCGCTGCTTTAAGTGGCCAGGGCACTTTTTTTCTTTTTAAATTGTTTGAAAACTCAGCCTTTCTTCCATAAAATAACCTTGTTAGATGTGGCAGGATTTGAGCCAGCCTGAAGGGCAGTTCATCCACTCAGGGGCCAAACTCTTATCTTTACCGTTTGAGTGTAAGTAAACTCCCCTTGTTCAAGCTCACCACTGCTGGACCAGAGTTGAAAGCCAGACCCAGTGAAGGGTTCATTTTCATAATGAGCTGATGACCTGAGCAAGAGAGCAGCTCTGACCACCAGCCTGCCAGGGGCAGGGACAAGTGCCAGCTTGGGGACCACCACGAAAGCCCCATCTGTGCATTAGGCTCAGTCTTGCTGGGTGCAGCAGCGTGACAGCTTTGCCGCAAGCAGCAGAGCCGTGCTGGGTCGCTGCTCAGCTCTGCTTCAGCCAAGCAGGCAGCAGGCGGGCAGCGTGGCTGGCGGTGCCTGCGCCTCCCAGCGCTCCCCCCGCCAGCGCCAGCACCAGCGCCAGGCCATTCATAAAACCCTCCGTGTCACTTACGCTTGTCTGTCAACACACGCTTCCTTTGATCTCTTTATTATGTGATCTGGAATAAACCGGAGATGTCTCTTGCTAATCTGTTATCCTACAGATGATGCTGTTGGAGATTTTACTGTTCAGTTTTACAGTAACTTTTACAGCACTCGATTAAATAGATCTGTTGTCAGATAGATGTGCTCTTACACAGTATTACCCCTTTTCCTCTTTGCCCTGAAGTTTGCAGAGTAACCAGACTTTTCGCAAAATGCTAAAGAAAAGCCTGGCCCCGGTAGCTGATGGGAATGTGGGTACGCAGGGTGCTGCCCCACTACTGAACAGGAGGATGACCCTGCCTCTGCTGAAGCTTACAATTTAAATCGGGCTCCGTTTGACCGAGTCGGAGCCCAGGAGGATAGCACTGGTATTCACAATTCCGTATAAAATTAACTAATTTGAGTAATTCTAAATGATACACTTTAAGATCACTTTAAGAACCATAGCCCAAATAATACACTTTTTTTTTTTTTCTTTTAACTGTAGATACCAATCTTCATGGGCTGAATTAACATTTTAAAAGAGAACTATCTGGGTCTTACATAATCAGCTTGTCCTGATTTCCAAGAAAGCTCATGTTTTTGCTCAAGCAAGTGAAGTAATTTAATAAGTGCTTTAAAATCATTTTCCTTATGTGGGAGGGCATCTTAAACTTACGTTTGTTTTTTTTTTCCTTACTTCTTATGGCATTTTTAATGAAGCATTAATATATGCAGAACATCCCACCAACCCTCTTTCCATAGCTCTCTTGTACAAACAATATTTGTAATGTATACCATAGCTTGTCTGTTAAAATAGAAACAGATTGTTGAACAGGTTTTATGTCCTTTATTAGACTGGAAGATGCTGAATTTAGGGCATTATTTAGTCTAATCCCTTCAAGAGTATGTTTTGTATATTACATAAACAGGGTTTCTTCCATCTTCTTAAACGTCGGTAATAAAACGATAGATTACATCTTTCTATGTGACAACAGCTGTGATCTCTTCTGTGCTAGAGACTTGATGATACTGCTTTCACCCATGATGCTATTTATTTTTCCATTACTACTTAGGCACTAGTGTTTTTACAGTGTCCTCTACAGGAGCAAGACTACCTTTTCTTAAGACAAGATTTTAATGGTAAAACGGTGCGTCTGAATTGAATTCTCTACTGCCAGCGCAGTTTACAGAAGCTTGTTTGAGATAGGACTGGTAAAGTTTACAAAAATGTCATCATAAAATCTGCATTTCAAGTGTTAACACTGCTGCATTTATCTCCCAAAATGAGGTACAGTCACGTAGGCATCTTGGCAACTTCAGTGAAGCGTATGGTTAGAAGTGGCCCACCTCAGCCGGCCTAAGCAACCATCTTGCTTTGCCATAAGCAGCTTCCTGCGCTGTCTGTATTTCCGAATGTTGCTCTCCTGAAATCCCACCCTTTAGACTTGGTTACTGTCCTCAGAGAAACAATATTCCCATCCCAAATGTACTTCTGAAATCACATCTCCTTTATGACCATTGGTGCTTTAAGTGACCTCTCCCAGCCCATTCCTCCCTCACACTCTGAAGCAACCTGACCGTTATTCTCTGGCCTCCAAACATCGTTTCTCCCTGGATTCATGATTTCTGCTGGTTTACTACCTGGACCTTTCGTTACCAGGAATGCTGTTCCTAATGTGATGGACAGGCTTCCTGGCTGGTGGCCATCATGGGTAGAGAGGAACCTCATGATGTTCAGCAAGGGAAAGTGCAGGGCCCTGCATATGGGAAGGAATAACCCCATGGACCAGTACAGGTTGGGGGCTGACCTCCTGGAAAGCAGCCCTCCGGAGAAGGACCTGGAAGTCCTGGTGGACAAAAGGTTAAATATGAGCCAGCAGTGTGTTCTTGGGGCCAGGAAGGCCAACGGTATCCTGGGTTGTATTAGCAAGAGTGTTGCCAGCAGGTCAAGAGAGGTGATCCCCTGCCTCTACTCCGCCCTGGTGAGGCCCCACCTGGAGTATCGTGTCCAGTTCCGGGCTCCCCAGTGCAGGAAGGACATGGAACTCCTGGAGCGTGTCCAGCAAAGGTCGACTAAGGTGATGAAAGGGCTGGAGCATCTTTCATATGAGGAAAGGCTGAGGGAGCTGGGCCTGTTCAGCCTGGAGAAAAGATGACTCAGAGGGGATCTCATTAATGTTTATAAATATCTAAAGGGAGAGTGTCCAGAGGCCAGGGCCAGACTCTTCTCATGGGCACCCAACAACAGGACGAGAGGCAACGGGCATAAACTGCAGCATGGGAAGTTCCACCTGAACATAAGGAAGAACTTCTTTAGTGTGAGGGTGACTGAGCACTGGAACAGGCTGCCCAGAGAGGATGTGGAATCTCCCTCCCTTTTATTTTCATTGTTTAATGTAAAGCTGTACCAGGGCTGTTTTAGAAATATGCCTGAGAATTCACCTTATAGTATTGATGGAGTAGTAATTATTGGTTGTCTTCTGAGCAGAAAAGAGAGTTAGTTAAGATGCTCCTGGGTTGGTCACATTGATGAAGTTTGACTCTTGTTTCTTTGAAACAACACAAAGCAAGCCATGGTAAAAGCAGCAAGAAGAGAGCTGACAAAGATCAGTTTCTGTCTCTGCTGGGATGGAGAAGGGTCTGGGCAGTTCTGAGGCCACAAAACCATTTGCCAAGTTCCTTTTAGCTGCTTTTTGAGTTTTAAGAGCTGCCACTGATGGAGTCGGTTTTGCCAGTTAAATCAGATTCTTTTGAGGCAAGAGAGAAAGAAAAAAGAGAAAAGCTGCTGAGAGGTGTGACAGCAGGACTCGAATACTGGTGTTTGGCATTTAGTGTAGCCTGAATCTCATTCCCTCTTGTTTGATCTGATGGGAGTATCAGTCTGGCTAAGGATTATCCAGGGCTGACAGTGAGTGGTTTTGGGTGCTGCTTTTAGGGTAAAGCTTCTCCCTTTCATCTGAAGGGATCTGGTTATCTCTGTTATCTTTATCAAGGGCTTTTTCAAAGCAAGGAGATAAAGTCAGAAAGGGATAGCAGTGACCATCTGGATAATGATGCCAACCCACAACTTCACCAAGAGGTGTCAGAGCTTTCTAAGTTAAGCAGGTCAATATGGGGTTTTTTTGCTATTTTCAGCTTTTGGGCCCAACAAACTCTGGGGAGTGTATAGAGGAAAAGGCAGAGACACTAGTGAGTGGAAGGGGAGAGATTCAAGATGAATGACAGTTGCAGTAAGAAAACTGTCACAGGAGTTTCTCAACTGTCTTTTTAATAAAAAGGGATCGTGCTTTGTAGAAGGTAACTAACATCTAGCATGTTTAACAAGTATTGCTCACCAGAGCACTTGAGTGCTGACCTGACTGGAAATGTGAGACACGTCTGACTCTTCTGGAGTATCTTCCCTCATCTTGATGGGATCCTTGAGCCTTCCCTGCCTGCATCTCCCACCTGCTGCTCCATCTGCTTATCACATGCTCTGCCCCTCATTGCCACAAGAGGCCAGTTTATCTAAAAAGCACACTTACCTGCTGTCCCTTTCTCCCAGACTCACTTCTTTAAATCTTGGGATTTAAAACTTCCCTGCGGATGTGCCTGATCTCTCTGCAGTCCCTCGTGCTGACGGCCTTTGCTGAGAGAGAGGTGAGCTGCACCCAAAGGACTCCATGGCTGCAGCAAGCAGTTTTTAGTTGTTACCTCT